GTGCGCAGCACCTGGCAGGCCGCCGGCCGAGCCAGCCCGACTGCCCGGTTCAGCAGACCGGCAGTCCGGTCCAGACCGGTTCAGACCGGCTGGACCCGTTCAGTCAGTACTTATCAGTTTTAATCCCGGTTCTCAATTTCAGTGTCATTTTCAGTTAAAATTCCGGGTTCAGTTCAGCTCAGTTAATTAGTATCAGTTCAGTTTAGTACTTAACCGGTTTCAGTTATACCGATTAAGTCCGAATGTCATGGCAGGTTCGATAGAGCATCTTAACATAATTAAACAGTTAAATTATCAGTCTGAGCATAGTCAGTAGTAATTGTTTATATTATTTTCAGTTTGATCGGGCATCAGCACTACCGTTCAGTTCAGCAGTTCAGGTGGGGACTCAGACTAAGTACTACATTGTTTTTAATTACGCTACCATGTTCGAGGTATGTATATTCAGTATCCGCTCGGAATGGTCGTCGGTCCATTCTGGGTTCTAGTGGCCTAATCTAACCACTAGAGTGTGCACATGGTCCGGTATTAGTTTGTGCCGGCAGATTGAGGTATTAGTTTGTGCTGACAGATATTCAGTTATCAGTTACGTGACTTATGTCGCGAGATCAGACCGGTATCAGATATCAGTTTCAGTTTCAATTCAGTTATATATGCTTAGATCATGATATTGTTATTATTCACAATGTTTACATTAGTATGAGTTTCTGCGGAGCACAAGTGTTTTAGTACTCACGCCCCCACACATTTCATGTTTTCTAGGTCGCAGGGTCGGGGATGAGGAGTGAGCTGGCGGGCAGTTCAGGAGATTTTTGAAATTATGTATATATGTTTTGCCACGCTTTGTCTCCGCAAAAACTTTCAGTACTTATTTTCAGTTTTTGTTCCGACATTAGTCGGATAAGACATTATAACCGTTTTTATTTATCAGTTTAAAATTTTAACGGTTTTCAAAAAAAAACAAGTTTTTCACGGTAGCATCCCGAATCAGTTTCCGCAAAAATAAGTATTTTATTTATTTATTCAGAAAATTGCGAAAAATCGCGTACTCTGATAGTATTAAAAAGTCAGGATGTTACAATTGGTATCAGAGCACGTTTTTGCGTCTCTGAAAAGTTTTTCAGTCAGTAATTTTCAGAAAAACCTGAACCGTCACGCTCACGCCTCGCCGACTCCAGGTAAGTGCTGATTCAGTTTTTCAGTTATAAACATATTACTTTGTCTATGCTCAGAAATCAGTAATCAGACTTAGTTAAGATGCTCGAATCAGGTTCAGACTTTAGAGTTCAGTTATAACTCTAGAATTCAGTATATCCAGGCATGACTTTAGAGATCAGTATACTCAGACATGACTCTAGAATTTAGTATCTTTCGATATTACTCTAGAGTTCCTCAGGAATCACGTCAGTAATTATCGGCCATTTTTGGCAACTCGTCAAGAGATCTGTATGCCTTAGTAGTCAGTCAGAATATTATCACGTGTTCAATAATTTTGAACTTTCTCAATGTTCAGATGCCGCCACGTAGGGAACCCGATCATCCGGCTCATACTCAGGCTACAGTAGTCGCCCAGTTCCGCGACTATCATGCCGAAAAATTCTCAGGGCAGGGAGATCCTCGCATAGTAGACGAGTGGATTCAGGGCCTGGAGTTTATCTTCGAGGTCATGGAGTGCCCTGAGAGATATCGCGTTGTTTGCGCTCAGCTTCAGCTCACCGGTGATGCCAGGCTCTGGTGGAACGCTTACTGGAGCATGCATCCCGGCGAGAAGGCGGGATGTACGTGGGAGATGCTCAGGAGTTAATCCGTGAGAAGTACTACCCCACCTACTACCGAGCAGAGATGGAGCGTCAGTTTCTATCGCTCCAGCAGGGTACTCGTACTGTTGACGAGTATGAGAGGGAGTTCACTAGACTTGCAGCTTTCGTTCCTGATTTGGTTCGCACGGAGGCCCAGAGAGCACAGCGTTTCATTGATGGGCTTTACCCAACAGTCCGTCATAACATCGTAGGCCACGGGACACAGACGTACGCACGTGCAGTTTCCATTGCCCAGGAGGTGGACGCAAGCATTAGGAGGGAGGCCGTCCGTGATCAGTTTCAGCCATCCACCCCTGCTCAGTAATCTTCAGTTCCACCGATGCCAGCTCTACCATCTGCACAGCCACCAAAGAATAACAACATGAAGGGGAAAGGTGCCCCGACAGATAAGAGGACCCGACGGAGGCTACAGAAGATCCCTCAGTGCCCGACATGCGGACGACTTCACTGAGGCGAGTGTCACTTTGGTCAGGATGTGTGCTACTACTGTCACGAGCCTGAACACTTCGCCAACCGTTGTCCGAGGAAGGCGCAGCAGCCTCAGCAGCCTCAGCAGCCACCGCAGCAGCAGCAGCCCCGTCAGCAGGCTCAGAGGCCGCCTCAGCAGCAGCAGCAGAGGGGCAGACAGCAGGCCCGAGTTTACGCAGTCGATCAGGCAGAGGCTGAGCAGCAACCAGGTACTATGTCAGGGATGGTTGTTCTTAATAATGTTCCTGTGTTTGCTTTATTTGATACTGGAGCGACACATTCTTTCATTTCACGATGATGTCTTGATGCCATCGGAGTTCATGTCGTTATCACTGTCGATCCTCTCAAGGTGAGTTTAGCCTCAGGACGAAAGATAGTAACTTCAGCTAAAGCTTCAGATCTTAGCCTTTCCATCGGTGGCCGAGTATTGCCTACCGACGCGTTTGTTCTCGAGATGAGGGACTTCGACCTTATTCTCGGAATGGATTGGCTATCCTTTTATCATGCAGATATCAGATGTCATGACCGGGAGATTACTCTTTATCTTCCGGGAGACGAGTCGATTACTTTCTTCGGCTCCATGAATCGTTCATTGCCTCATGTTGTTTCGATGGCGAAAGCCACTAAGTTGCTGCGACGAGGCAACTGCCAGGGTTATCTGGTGAGCCTTGTCGATGATTCTCAGAAAGCACGTTCACCTCACGATGTTCCAGTCGTTCGAGAGTTTGTGGACGTATTCCCAGACGAGCTTCCAGGAGTACCGCCTAACCGGCAGGTGGAGTTCTCTATCGATCTCATTCCAGGAGCCGGTCCAGTATCCAAAGCCCCATACCGTATGGCGCCAAAGGAGTTGCAGGAGCTTAAGACTCAAATTCAGGAGCTGTTACGACTCGGTTTCATCTGGCCGAGCGTGTCACCTTGAGGAGCACCCGTTCTCTTTGTTAAGAAGAAGGACGGATCCATGCGCATGTGTATCGACTACCGGGATCTTAACCGGTTGACGATCAAGAACAAGTATCCGCTTCCCAGGATCGACGACTTATTTGATCAGCTGAGGGGAGCCTGTGTGTTCTCGAAGATTGATTTACGATCAGGCTACCACCAGCTGAAGATTAAGGAGTCAGATATCGCTAAGACTGCTTTCAGGACTCGTTACGGCCATTACGAGTTTGTAGTCATGCCATTCGGTCTCAGTAATGCTCCAGCAGTTTTCATGGACCTCATGAATCGTATTTTCCATCCCTACCTCGATCAGTTTGTTATTGTCTTTATTGACGATATCCTCATCTACTCGAAGAGCCAGAAGGAGCACGAGGAGCATCTGAGGGTGGTTCTCGAAACCCTCAGACGAGAAAAGTTGTTTGCAAAATTCTCCAAATTCGAATTCTGACTCCAGCGAGTATCTTTTCTGGGTCATGTAATTACTCAGGCAGGTATCGAGGTGGATCCTTCCAAGGTCTTAGCTGTTCAGAACTGGTCGACACCGAGGAGTCCGTCCGAGGTTCGCAGTTTTCTCGGTCTAGCTGGTTACTACCGCAGGTTTATCGAGGGCTTTTCCAAGATCGCCCTCCCTCTATCCCAGCTGACGAGGAAGTCTGTGAAGTTCGAGTGGACTGACCGATGTGAGTCGAGCTCTCAGGAGCTCAAGAGGAGATTAACTTCAGCAACGGTGTTGACTATTCCCGACCCTTCTCGGAGTTTCACCATCTTCAGCGATGCTTCGAGACAAGGCTTGGGATGCGTCCTTATGCAGGATGGCCAGGTCGTCGTGTATGCTTCACGTCAGCTTAAGCCGCATGAGCAGAATTATCCGACACACGACTTGGAGTTAGCAGCAGTCATTCATGCTCTCAAGATTTGGCGACACTATCTTTACGGCGGTCATTGTGAGATTTTCACAGATCATAAGAGCTTGCAGTATATCGTTACTCAGAAGGAGCTCAACATGAGACAGCGCCGTTGGTTAGAGCTCGTCAAGGATTACGACTGCTCTATTCAGTATCATCCGGGGAAGGCGAACGTCGTTGCTGACGCCCTTAGCCGAAAGGTGAGGGGTGACTTGACGTACATCATTACTCAGCAGAGTCCGTTGATTCGGGAGTTTGCCCGGATGCAGCTTCAGGCGATCGATGCACTTCCCACAGCAGTTTCGGGGAGTACCAGTGCAGTGTCAGTGCCATGCAGCTTCAGCCGACGCTGAAAGAGAGAATCCGGCGAGAGCACGCTTCTGACGAGTTCATTCGTGTCATGGAGGCCAAGGTTCGCGCCGGAGGCGTCAAGGGTTTTCAGCTAGGTGCCGATGGTGCCCTAGAGTTCAGAGGCAGGATCTTGGTCCCGAAAGTAGAGGCGTTGCGGAAGGAGATTTTATCGGAGGCCCATACCACACCCTATCTAGCCCATCCCGGGAGCACGAAGATGTATCACGACCTAAAAGGGTCGTTCTGGTGGCGGGGCATGAAGAAGGATGTCGCCGAGTTCGTCAGGAGATGTTTCACCTGTCAGCAAGTCAAAGCAAAACATCAGAGTCCGATCGGCCTCTTGCAGCCACTGCCAATTCCGAGGTGGAAGTAGGAGGAAGTTACGATGGATTTCGTTACGGGATTATCGAGTTCGTCTGAACATCACGACGCTATCTGGGTCGTGGTCGACAGGTTGACTAAGGTCGCGCATTTCTTACCCATTTCGATGAAGATGTCTCTGGACAAGTTGGCTGAGATATATACCTGTGGGATCATCCGACTCCACGGAGTGCCTGTCACTATAGTATCAGACAGAGATCCCAGATTCGTCAGCAGATTCTGGCACAGCTTACACGAGGCAATGGGCACGAAGCTAGAGTTCAGTTCAGCCTATCATCCGGAGACAGACGGTCAGTCAGAGAGGACGATTCAAACGCTTGAGGATATGCTTCACGCTTTGGTTGTTGACAGGGGTGCTAAGTGGGAGTCGTTGTTACCGTACGCCGAGTTCGCGTATAACAACAGCTATCATTCTTCTATCCAGATGGCTCCTTACGAGGCACTTTACGGTCGCAAGTGTCGTTCCCCTCTTTATTCGAACGATGTCGGAGAGCGACGAGTACTCGGTCCTAAGTTGATCGAGGAGACAGCAGAACAGGTCGAGTTGATCCAGCAGAGACTCAAGACATCTCAGAGTCGACAGAAATCTTCAGCCGATCATCATCGACGAGATATTCAGTTCGAGGTTGGCGAGCTAGCTTTTCTCAGAGTTCGTTCGATTCGCGGAGTAGTGCGATTTGGAAAGAGAGGAAAGCTGCACCCTCGATTTGTTGGTCCATTCGAGGTTCTCGAGCGAGTAGGCGAGGTCGCGTATTGATTAGCCCTACCTCCCGAGTTATCAGGCATTCATAATGTATTTCACGCATCGATGTTGTGTAAGTACATGTGTGACCCCGATCATGTCATTCCCCATTCAGATATTCAGGTTCAGCCAGATCTTTCGTACGAGGAGCGACCGGTAGTTGTACTAGACCGTCAGGTTCGTTGGCTCCGGAAGCGAGATGTTCCCCTCGTGCGTATTCAGTGGGATCTCCACGGAGCTACTTGGGAGGCGGAGTCCGATGTTCGCGCTCGTTTTCCAGATTTTCAGTTTTGATGTACATATTTTCTTATCCTATGTACATAGTTCATGTAGATTCAACTATGTTTTGAATTTTCGAGGACGGAAATTTTGTAAGGAGGGAGGATTGTAATATCCCATCAGTTTATCAGTATAAATTATTTTTTTTAGTTCCGATATTAAATTTCGGAATTAATTATTTTCAGTCATTTCAGTCGAGATTACCGAAAATTATTTTTGACGTACCGTTTACGTTCGGAATAATTTTGGTAATTAAGCATTATGTTTAATTAAATAATTAAACATAATTAAGTGATTAGTTAGCAAAAAATTAATCACGTTAATGGTCATTAGCCGTGCCAAATGGGAGAATTTATCCCAAAATTGCCGTACATAATTTTCCTAAGGTTTGGAAAGTTATTTCTTCATTATTAAGACTAATACGTGGCATCATTTTAACTAATAGAGTGCTTAGTCATTTAAGCATTATTTAAGCTAGCTACAAGTGTCCTAAGGAGAGTTAATCTCCAAACCATTATCTATCGGCCACTTAAGTATAAAAGGGTGGAGTTGGGCATTTTTGCTCCATTTTTCTTCCCCTTATATTCACCATCTTCAGCCCCTATTATATATAGCAAAGTGAGAGAGGGAGTTGTGTTCATAAGCTTGGCACCTATCACCCGCACGCTCTGTATTCCCGTACGCGTAGCATCCCATACGCACGCCACACGCCACACCGAGAGAAGGCCGAGCATACACACGCACCCACGAACACCAAGCCAGCAAAGAGGTAGTTCAGCTCTCGTATTCCTATGGTTTATATCATCAGGCTTCGTTTCTAAGTAAATTAAGTTCATGTTCATATCTCACGCATGTTGCGTGTTCGCCGTGCGTAGAACGCAAGTAGATCATGTCATGTTT